GGTTCAACAATGTGAGAAATAATATACTAAACTGAATCCAGAAAATGGCAAACCAGAATCAACTGCTTTGATTTCCCTCATGGTTGCGTCGGCTGACATCAATGGTTTAATGAAGAACTGTGCAAATCTGAAGAATAAATCAGGAAAACTAATCCAACCAGATAGAGAATTAATCAAAATCAGAGAATTAATCAAGCAGTGCCTACCTGTCCAAGGCCTCTTCAAAACCATCAATATTAACATCAGAATGAAAGTTAGTACTCTCAGAAGCTGTGAAGGCATTTGTTCTGCCTCCATGCTGTACATAAACCACTCGGGAGGTCAGCAAAAAGATAGAAATGGCTTTAACATAGTCCACAATCCTCATTTCTACTACAAGTTCTGAAATTATTAATCAAGCTTAGAAAGAATTCAAAATCCCATTAGAAGCAACTCTTTTCATCAACCAAAAACCAATCACATCCTTTCTTCTATTTACTAACACTAAATCATAGCACATTGGAAAGCAACATTCATTCTTATTTAGTCAACCATCAATTAGAAGAAGGAAGACTGTATTACATTACCTCTGCAATGTACTTTGAGTAACTATCCTCCAAGGGATACTTCTCACTAGCATAGAACAGCATGTGCTCTGAGAAAATACATCACAACAAAAACCAGTATTCAAGTGCTAAGACCAACCACCCTAATCCCAGGAGCCGAAAATAATATTGAATCGGAATAAATCGCCGGAAATTGAGAAATTAAGCAAAAAACCATTATAGGAAGAAGAAGTACCGAGAAAATGGGCGACGCCCTTGAGACCATCAGGATCAGAGAAGGAACCAACACCAACCCATAGCAGCAGCACACTCAGACATCAAGAAACAACAATGAGAAACGGTTGATTTCTGACGTGAATGAAAGAAAGGGGAGAACGGGGAAGGAATTGCAGAGTACCTTGTCGGTTTCCGAATCGCCAATGAGGAGGACTTGGAGGGAGTTCTTGAGGACGATCCGCCGGTACTCCCTCTTGTCCGTACGAGGCTTCGGTATCTCGATGTCATCTTTGCAGACGGCCATTGTTTCAGGAATGGAGAGATGAACTTCGGCGGTGTCAGGTTGTTGAATTCGGAGAAGGGAAAGAATGGAATTCTGCTGTATCTTCGTCTTCGTCTGTCTTCTATTCACTAGGAAAAGGGAGGCAGTCTCTGTTTTATAGCCTTCTGTGAAACTTCATTACGTCATTGTTATTGTTTAGGCCATACAGTGCACAGTCCATGCGCACTGGACTACCCTTTATTGGCTAAAGGTCCATATCAATATGAATTTTTTTTTCTTCCATGTGACTATGAAAGATTTAATTCTGAATCTTCCGTTCCGATGCAGTGGTATCAAGTTTGAGGCAGGGGATCACCTTTGTAGTAGATTAAAGTTTCGAGCTTTATAGATTCTTTTTTTCTCATCCCATTCTTTTTCTTAAAAAATTGTAACTCTGTTAAAAAAAAGAATTAAAGATTGAATTCTATATTCATAAATTAAAAAAATAAAGGATTCTATAGTTGTTATGAGTCCAGACCAAACGAGGCATTCTACATTTGATGCTAATGATTGGCTAATGTTATTGCCAATATTAAATTTTTTAAGGCAATCAATTTAATTGTAATTTTATCAATTTATAATAATTTTAGTTATTGTATTTAAAATATGTATTTATAAATATTTTAAATTGATTTTAATATATTAAATAATAAATATTAACTTTTTTATTAGTTATTTATTTTTAATAATTAAATCAAAATAAAAATTTAAAAATTTTTTGGTCTTAACAAATTAAATGGTAGTCATAACCATAGTCCTAATGATAACGATTGTAACTACTTGATTGAAACTTAATGATATTACATTTTAGCTTGTTAATAATTTAATTTAAGCCAAGTAACTTAGTGTTAATTTCTATCAATGAAAATAAAAAATATTAAAATTCGAATGATATGCTAGTAAATTTAGTTGAATAATAAAAGAGCTCTATATTATTGGAATACTTGTTGTCCTGAATAATTCATTAAAATAAAAAGAACATAATTTCTAATATTAGAGATTTGTCTATTTGTTAGACTTCTAAACAATTAAAAAGAAAAATTTAAAATTATATTATTTTAATAAAATATTATAAAAAAATGAACCAAAATATATGTTTTAAAAATAAGTTATTGAATTTAACCCCTTTTTAATGAGAACAACATATGTTCCTGATTGATATGTCGCGGCAGCTTGGTAATGCAAGATCACTTACTGTATCATTAGGTTTAGTTAAGGTATGTATGGAATCTTATTTGGCATGCCAAATATCCAATAATTTTCAATTTCTTAAAAGCTAGTTATTTGTTTTGTTTTTCCATAACCAGAATTTAAAATTGCCTGTTGTACTTTGAAGTTTCTCTCACAGCATTCCAGATTGCTTGAAGAACAACCATTTCCCTTTTCTAAACTGGAGTCATTGAAAGTAGTGAGAGGACGACAGAGTTGCAAGAATATTCCTCCAAAAGTGATGAACTTCTTGGTTCAGGGCTCTCCCATGGCTGAGGAGCTTCTCCCGAAGTTCCAGAAAGGTATGTAAAACTAAGAAGTGCTTGACTGCTATCTCCCCTGCAGTGTTAATTGCATTCCTTTTTAACTCCCAAATGGTGATATTTTGCAAGCTGAAAAGTGCTTAAATGCTATCTCTCCATTTTTTCTTTTCTTCCTCTAATGTTTGTTGTAGCCAGAAAAGAAGAATGTGTAAGCAGCCCATGGATGATTGACCAGATATATGACAAAGTAGGACAACATGATGTGGCCTCGTTTTGTCTTCCACTCCAGTTTGTTTTCCAGCTTTTGGCAATCTTAATAATACAAATTAGTTTAGTGAGGTGTATTTTGGAGAATTAAAAGTACTTTTTATGTGTTTCTTATCCCGAATAAGATTTTTGTTGTAGGACAGTTCATATACAAAATGGTGTTAATTTTCGTTTACTCCTCTGTTGCATGGCTAAATTAATGGTGTTAACATTATTGTTAATTACTTTAATGGACGATGTTCTAATGTCATCATCATGAAGGTTCGCAGTGAAACGATTTCCCCATTTCCTATTTGCCATAAGAGATCATCACGAAAGTTTTTCAGCTTGCAGTAATACTCCTCCAACAGGACCTGCGTACAACGGATGCACATGAAATGTGTTGGACAGGTACAGGCGCTACTGCCTTGCTTACAGAAAAACAGGGAGTATGGGTACAGAAAGTAAACATTCTCTTTTCCTTTACCCTCTCAGCCTCCCCTACTAAAAGCCGCGTTGGATTCATGTTCTAAGTCCTTTTTTGGGACATCTTAAATTAGTTTTTGCGCACTTCAAAATCAATGGTTCTTCAAAAAATCTTAATAATTTAATTTACCTCCGTATTAGTATGTTACATTTAAAGAAATTACTTTTATTATGTATCAACCTCAAGATTTGAATCCTATATTTTCTGTGTAAGATAAAATTTACTTACCATTGATTCAACTTTTTAAACTGCCTTCCCAAGTCAACTATGAATCTAAGGCATAAGCAAATAGATCGGGGCAGAACTCCTAAATGCAACGACGATCATCTCATTTGCTGGTTTCAGTTTTGGAGTCCAGTGCAACGTAGGCTGCAAAACTGTAAAGTGCAACTCTTTCCTTAACCCTTTTACACCCCAAAATGAGGAAATTGTGGTAGCAGCATTGTTCTTTCATGGCGAAAGGTGCAGATCACCCCCTAAACTCAACAACTAGTGGCAAATCACCCCCTCAACCCACTTCACGCGCAAATCAACCCCTCAACTCACCTGCAGTGGCAAATCAGCCCCTCTCTTAACCCTTCCGTTAACATTTAACAGTTTGCTCATCAGCCCTTCCTCTGTGTCTGACGTGGCCTTCTTTTTGCTGAGATGGATGCTGAGGTGGAGGCACAGCTGGACAAATACCTCAAAATCAGCAGATTACAAATCTGGTGATACAGGTAAACCTAGAGGAGGAGGAGATGGTGGTGTTGGAAAAGATTTTGATGGCTGAACGAGTTGGAAGACGAGTTAACTCAGCAGTTGCAGAGTCTAACTTGTTCGAGATGGAGCGCGTCCACGTTGGGAATTTAGTGGGTTGCTTGAGGCCGATGCTTCATGATCTGGTCGGCTGCATCTCCGCTGCTTCTCCGCCCTTATACGACCGGCCAATCGTCCGCATTGTCATTGAAGTCTCCGAAAACCTTGAGCGGGCACTGACCCTGGTCCGGAAGTGCAAGCGATGCACCCTCTTTCGCCGGTTTGTCACCGGCAAGCACGTAACCGATTTTCCCAGAATCTTTGCACTTCTGGAATCTTCAATTGCCGATATGAACTGGTTGCTAAGCCTCTTCGACCCAAACATTGGCTGCGCCTCTAGGGAACCTGACCTATCCGTGCCTCCAATCGCAATCAAAGATCTAGTTATTTCATGGGTCTGGGCGTTCATCGCCACCGTTGAAATGAGTCCACTGAAAAATCGCATCGAGGCCGCCGACAATCTTGCTTAAAAAAGGTTCAATTTTTAAAAGACGAAGAGGGGAAGAAGATGATAGAAGCTGCCAAACAAAATAAAAACCTAGATATCCTCAAAATATGGTAATTTGACAGACGATTCAAAGCTTGACGAAGAACCCCATGCTCGATGAATTGCAGATCTTGCTAAACAAAGACGAAGAAGGGAGGAAGACAAAGATGATACAAGCTGATCCCTAAATCCCAAAATCCCAAAATCCCCAAATCTCCGATTTTATTCCCTAAACAACTTAAGGTATAAAAGTAATTTGTGTAATCTGTTGATTTTGAGGTATTTGTCCAGCTGTGCCTCCACCTCAGCATCCATTTCAGCACAAAGAAGGCCACGTCAGACACAGAGGAAGGGCTGATGAGCACACTGTTAAATGTTAACGGAAGGGTTAAGAGAGGGGCTGATTTGCCACTGCAGGTGAGTTGAGGGGTTGATTTGCGCGTGAAATGGGTTGAAGGGGTGATTTGCCACCAGTTGTTGAGTTTAGGGGGTGATCTGCACCTTTTGCCTTCTTTCATTTATCAATATTTATTGTAGAGAATAAATATTTTCAATCATATAATAAAATACATGATCTCTGTTTTTATTTATAATTTATGTTGGCACAGCAGAACAACATGATATAATTCATTTTCCGCCGCTAAAACCTGAAACCGCAGTTTTTGATGTTTTGGCTTCTCTCTCTAACTTCGATTTTGTACCCTAGAAAGTAAGGTGAAGACATTATTAACTCGACTAAGCCTGAATGGCATTCAAATCCGAAATCATAAAGTTGTAAACAACACTCCGCGGAGAGATGCTCGTCTTTGCTTGGATCCGTAAATACAAGTTTCCAAATAGCTTTACCACACTCTTCAGTCACGGGGTGTTTCGAGCAGCTTCGCATAAACAGCTCTTCTGTCGCTGATAGCTTTCGTGGTTCTTCAAGGGATTTAACATTCGGGATTGGACTTGCCGGCGCTGGAGCTGGTTGAGATGATGCCATCTTGATAGCCAACAAGAGCACCACCATGGCAGACAAGATGCTATGCTTCTGCACTGCCATCGGTGATCTCTTGATTTGTGGCTGGCTAGCTAGCTAGGAAGGAAACTTTAAAAGGCGATCGAGTTTGTATGTTAGGGACGGAGTATTTAGTTGTTACGTTTTTTTTAATAATTGGGGTGTTTTTGAGTTAATTTATATATAATTTAAGACTAAACTACAGTTTTTTGAGTTATTTAAGATCATTTAAGGCTTAGCAAACTGTGCTTCTTGCTCCATTTTTCATTGAATTTTTTTAAAATGGACGTTAATTATAATTGAGATGTTTCTTTTGGTTTTTGAAACATTTAATAGGAACAACGGAAATTTTAAATACTCCATCTCCATCCGTTTATTAAATTTGAAGAGTTGAGAAACCACCTGCTAACTAACAAGAAGACCCTTATGCCCTGGGAGAGCCTAAGGTTTTAAATTAAATTACTCAATTTTCAACCTTGAGTATGATAAGCATATATTTAAGAATTATAGGACCTTCGTCAAATGTATTAAAAAAAAGAAAAGATGACCATAATAATTAAATATATGTTTTGATAATTAAAATACTAAAATTAATAATGAAAAATTTTAAATATTTTTAATGAATTAATATGAAAAAAAATTAATAATATTTCAATAATTATTCAGATATCTAGATTTTCATTTTCTCACATATATTGTACTCCCATTTTGCCGAAGAAAAAGACAATTGATAAAGGATTGAGAAAAATCACAGATATTGTATTTTTCTTTCTGATTGGTAAACATTTTTCTAAAAAATAATTATATTATTTTAAATTATAATATTAGGTATCTCTATTTTCAATGAATGAACTTTAAAATCTTTAGTTTGAACTCAAATGAGACTCTTTAAAATTTGACAAAATGGTGTAAAAATACATGTTAATAATGAAAGGTAAAATAAATCATCAATGAAAAAAGAATGAAAGGGATATTCTTGTTTTATAATCAAGGTAAAAAATTCAATAAAATAGGAGATTAATAGACATGATTTTTTTAACAGTTTATCTTGTGAATTTGATAGTGTAGAAAACGCAAAAGAGAAGCCTTGTTGCGTGGGAGAGGTTTAAGGGGGGGCTTGTGCAAGTTGCCGTTTTCCAAAGAAAACATTAAAAAAATGAAATTGCCATTTTTTGGACTTTATGATTGTGGGCTAAACTGAAAATCTAATCCCCAAATTGAAACCCAGCCCAAATTCATGGTCAGGGATAGATTTGTCAGGATTCTCCAGCCCCACTAATTAGGGTTTAGCCCCCGAGTTCTATAAAAAGGTTCTCTGCACTGCACTTGGAGTCGTATTTTGCGATGATCTCATTCTGTTGCCTTTTATTTTTTTTGGATTTAGCCCCCAATTATATTTTTATTAAATTTCAGTATATTTGAGCCAATTTATACACGTTTTAATATTAATATACTTAAAATTGAAATCAAACTTGATCAATAAGATTCATCTTCTTTAGATTTGCTTTCTCTAATTACTTTTTAATTTTATGAATTTCTTTTTAGGAAAGTTAAAAGCCAATTAGCAAAGCAAGGGCGTCTATGAAAATGGCATGATTTGCATTAAAGGTCGGCAACAATATTTTTACGATTCTCCGTGCCCATCAAATTCCTTTTTCATTTTGATTGTGACCTCGAACAAGTGGCGACATCTATTTTTATCAATCTTTCATTCTAGGATTGAGGTCGATGATGATAAATGTGAAGCCTCGATTATTAAGAAGCTGAAACCTGAGGCCCAAATCATTTTGAGTGCGGGGAGTAAAGTTTGTTAAAAGGGACTTGATTGCGCCAAAAAATATAACTAGGACCAATGCCTACTTTTCCTCTATTTAAGACTA